TTCCATAATGGTCAACCAACTCGTGATGGCGTCTGTAAAATTTTCGAAGGGATGATTTCAACTTCACTGGCCACTTGGAACTTTTGGTTTAGTAGCTTCCATGTGAGCAGTAACCCTCTATCAAGGAAATCGTGATAGGAAATACAAGCCCTGGAATATCGTATCAATCATTCCTCTTCGCTGTTAGTGTATTGTTTGTGTAAGGAGCACACCCATGTAAATGAATTCCGTGAAGTGTGAAGAAGGAGCGGGAGATACAAAGGGGACAGTTAAAACATGCACGGTCGTAAAGTGTAAATTGAGACGTAAACTCCAATCAATAGTGTCCGAAGGGATTGAGCTCAACTTTGTTTCTAGACTATCTGCGTTTATAAATTATTTCTGGTATAGAATGAACGGCAAGCAAATGTGACTTTCAGATAAAAGACATCTGTTGCTTTAACAAAGCAAATTGATGAAATCATTCATGATGTTGAAGAACATTCTCTGTTCAATTGCATAATTAGTTTTTATATAGTCTTTCATTAACCAATTTCACCTTGCGTTATTCTGATAGATATCTATCCCAATTGTCTATGGAAGTGCAAACTTAAAATGGGAGATGCTTACATGAAATTTAAAGGCAAGATTAAGTTGAAAATATTGCGTTGCGTATTTCTCTGCCTACAGAAAGCGGAGGTCTATCATACGTTCACCTCTCTCAGTTGATGTTAACCAGGCTATAATTTCGTTTATAGATTTATAATCTGTATCCTTTTCTTAATTTTGCTAGAACGTTTGTCTCCTAGCTCAAACTATGCAAAAAAACTGCTTGGTCACTGTGGTTAATGTCCCTCTGGGAAAAAACCCAGATAAGTCGTTCTTAAAAATATACATTATATCTTGAGAGAATGTTTTGTTGGAATTACTGAGTTGTAATTTGAATGATACTGCTTCTAAAAGTTCATTTGTGATATTATAACGGAGACAAAGATTGGTTTTACATAAATCTCTAATTACAGTGTTTGCAGGCAGTACATTTATAACATCATTAAAATGTGCTCAATTTATACTTATTCATTAAGAAAATATGTCTTGTCTTGTTTGTCTCTTCTGATATTAAATCAATCTTAAAATCGTTATTGTTACAGTGATGTACTAGTCAATTAATATTAGGGACATTGTATGGAAGGAAATAATTAACCGTAGATAGAATACTTTGAGAACATTAAACCCGATCTGATATTGTTATAGAAGTTAAAAGACTTTTCCGATTGAAATGAAATCAAAATGTCTGACCGTAGATTAAACTTATTCCATAGGTAATAATTGATTATAATATCAAATCTTGTAACTGTGTAACTGTTACTTAAGTTTGCAATCATATAAATGATTTACAATACCTCGTACACACTTTCCCTCACCCCCTCTCTCTCTCTGTTTCTCTCATGAAATGTATGTATTATTACAACTAGAACAATTTTTGTTGGCGTCTTTGTTAGATTTATTTGTAGGTTTATTTGAATTTTTTAGTCAGTTTTATTGTATGTCTGTGATGCATGTTCACCATGTTCACACAGTTTTGGCTGCTGGATCCCAATTATTGTCACATTAACCTATTATGTCTGTCTTGGTTGCTCACCCAATTTTGTCAATATAACGTAACTATAAACAATTGTCATACCAGTGGGAGATGAAGCTAGCTATGGAATCAGGTTTAATTCACCATTTACTTCGGAAATGCATGTACCGAGTCAGGAATATGACAGTTAATTTTCGCTCGTTCCGTTGGTTGATAACGTTTGATTTGTCAGTTTGTATGGACTTCCCCTTTTTGAATTTACCTTGGAGTTAGGTATTTTTGTTATAGTAATTTTTTCCAGCATAACCATACATATAGTGTAATTGTAATATTTAAAACTTAAACGTGCTGGTGTCTTGTCCTTTTTGTTGTCTTTTATCAAATAAAATATGTTCAACTAAACAAGTGCATCATTTAAACAACGATAACAGTTCATGTTATGGCATGATAAGTTTGAAGAAATATATCTCGAGAAATATATCCATCATTATAGCGTTATAAATGTCTTAATTCATTATAGGAAAACAGAATACTAACAGGAAGTGAATAATAAATATTTACTGTAAATATTGCATAATAGATGGTTATTAATTAAGATAATCTTAACTTGGCAGTTATATATCTAGTGAGGAATATATATTTCCACAAAAGTTAAAGATACCAAAGGGACGCTACAAATTTTTGACATAAAGAAGTTTCCCATAAATTCTAACAAATTAAGTTAAGCATTTTGTGTGATACATGTACTCCGGAAGGTCGTATTATTGATCCCCGGAAGGATCAAACCAAGTCAAACACATGTGACTGCGAAAGGTGGACTGTTACCATGTGAGCCTTCTCCAGTATCGTTTGAGTACTTCACAGTTATATCCATATCCAAATAAAATTATATCGTCTTGGATATTCATTGAAGGCCATACTGTGACCTTGAGTTGCTTAAAATCACTTCGTTTGGACTTAGTTGGATAGGTGCCTCATTGCCAATCATACCATATCTCTTTATTTTATTATGCAAAAACTGCCATACGAATCTAAGCATCCACCCATCTCTCCACCTATGGAATTCCGAAGTCGTTTCTTAACTTTATCAGCATTATTGTTATTATTTTCAAATGATATGTACCTATCTTATTGTAGAGTGTTGCCAATGGTATACATGTCTTGTTAAGTATTTTGTTTCTATGAGATATCTAGTAATAAATGCATTGGGTATTTTAGGAAAGACTGTAAAAGTATTTATGCCCCATAGGGAACAATAGTAAAATTTCCTCAAATACAGAGTTCTGAAAGTAGATTTTTTGACAATATTTTTCAGTCACAAAAATATAGGATCCCGTTAAGCTCCTAAAATACATGTCTCTTCACGGTTAAGGAAATATATCCTAGTACCTTTCAGGTAAAGAAAAAATAAACTTTGGATTTGGTATATAGAACACTGTATAAAGTGTGTAATTATATATAAATATCAGGTAAACCCTACGACTGGAAAGACTGTTCATAGAAAATGAAATTCATCAATCATCGGCATATTAAGAAAAATGGACATGTAGTGTTTAAGACATTTGACCAAACAAGTTTATTACGTAAAATGCTCACACACAGGAAAAGAACAGCCATGCCTTTATACTAGTATCTGTATAATAGTAATATACATAACGTGGACATTAACATTATACATCTTAGGATCATATATATCTGCTGACCATAGATCTCTACCAAAATACAACGTTTTTCTGGCAACAGATCTATTTAGAAACTGACATACAATACAGGCAACCACTACAGCATAGCTACCTACAATACTGTTGTTAATTCGATGTCCGCTTATGGAATATGTATTCTGCAGTATTTTTCACAACACTATTCTGTCTACCTCCTACATCAGATAACGGCTTACCAGTGTATTTGCTTAGCCATAGTGATCTACGCGTGTATCACAGTCCAGGCAACATTCAAACTTTATAGAATTGTCGATGGATGGAGAAGATACGATCACAGCCCTAGGACTACACTGTATCACAGGTTCCTTGACTAGTGCATGAAACAAGGTACGCCAATTATGTGGTACTGCGGAAAAACAATGACAAAGGCGATAGGTCATAAACAGCTTTTCATCATTTGCCAATTTGAACACAGAAAACAACTACATCTATAAAAGCCGAGAACATAGATAACAGAAATTCTACTCAATGAAAAACCTCAAATAATCAGTTTTCCTCACTTTTTTTCGTCATGCTTGAAGACATTGATTTGATAATTGGTATCAAGTTCGAATTTTGTTCCGGTCTGATGATTGTGTGCAGAGTTATTGTCCTTGGACTTAGAAAATTCACTAAAATAATCAGTTTTCCACACTTTTTTCGTCATGCTTGAAGATATTGACTTAATATTTGTTATATTTGTTATAGATCAAGTTAGCATTTAGTTCCAGTAAAACGAATTTTTAACCGGTAGGGGACTATGTATTGCCATGCAATACTCTCAGAATGCTTGTTTATTATAAATATTTTTTATTTATATAATTTCCATTCACTGCCAATTAGGGTACTTGTTATTCTATATATATATATGCAATTGAACTTCTTATCTCGAACTTTATTTAACTAAAAAGTAAGATAAAAAAAATACTGAACTCCGAGGAAAATTCAAAAAGGAAAGTCCCTAATCAAATGGCAAAATCAAAAGCTCAAACAAATCAAACGAATGGATAACAACTGTCATATTTCTTACTTGGTACAGACATTTTCTTATGTAGAAAGACAGACACCAACCAAGCTTCAGCAGACCTTCAAAGGATGTGTTATATTGCATGTCCTTTTTTTTTCTCAATAACATTGCTTTCAGTTATAGTTTCACAATACGTCGTATGTATGCCATTGTTATGCGTGACTCTTCTTCAGATGAATATAGCGAATAGCGAATTGTTGTACCGTTTTTTTATGTTAATTTTTGGGTTTGGGTTTAGTCAAGCAGTTTACTTAGTATGTGGTCGAGATATTTATGGTGCATCCTATCCAGAATTCATGATAGTTCAATCAAAACATACGCCAATCAAAGTTAATGGATACTATGATGGATTGAATAATGTATTTATTAAAATTTCTTGCATTGTTCCCGTCTCAAATAAAATATGTGTAACGCTTTCCTATTTTTTTCATAAACAGTGGACAAAAATTTGGAGAGGGAAGAGTTGTATTCAAATATATTTAAGGGTTTTGAAAATGCAGAATTCTAACAGATAATACGTTATTCTTGTATGAAAACACACCATTTTTTATTGTTCAAAGATAGATTACAAAACTGTTATAATTTTAATTCGGCTTCAACAGTTCCTCATGTTTTTTATTAGACTGGTAGAGAACTTTGCATATACACTTTTATAAGAATGCTAAATATTCCATAGCAATCCGAAGCATTCCTAAACATTTAAAAACAAAAGTCAATTGAAGGATTTAATAATGACAAAGGTTAACAACGTTATTACAAATAAGACCTGTACATATAGGAGCATTTCCTATATTAAACACATAAAATACAAACCATAGGAAAAAACACTGTTCCGTGGAATAAATTTGGATACTTCATGAGCATTTTCTAAGTTTGAGCAAATAAAAAAATCACACAATATCATCGTCTATCGATGTTTCTAAATATGGCCTGACGTCTGGCTCCGGCATACTACTGACTTCTTTCATATCTTGCATTTCAAATTCATAAAATTCCGATGACAGTAGAATTGGCTCTGTATGAGCATGGGGCATACCGTTAATTTGATTACAATCAAGTTCTTGTTCTTGATCATCGTTAGCATGTGAAATTATCGCATCACCTTGCTCATGACGATGATGATGGTGATTATGATTGAGGTCCTGCATAATGCTAGACTCCTGATGACTATGATGACGAATTCCACTATGGGAATGTCCTGATTGAGTACAGTGTACGTGACCGTAGTGATGGTGACCGGAATGTTTGTGAGAAGATGAAGATGAACCTTTTCGGTGAACGCCAGCAATTACATAATTTGCGTTCCCATTACAATGCCCATTATTATGAACTGGAAGTTCAAATACATAACCTTCGCTTTGGTCTGAGAACATGTCGTCATGACCAGCAGTCATTGTTACGCTCTCACTGAAATCATACAGTTCATCATTAAAGTGAGATGACATGCTGTCATATTTTCGGGTCTTTTGTTTCCCTCTCCAGTGTATCGATGATGGCCATCTTAATAACAAAATAACAAACACGATCATAGAAAGAGCCAGCACTGCACCGATACTACTTCCAATAGAAACGGGGATATGCCAACTTCTCGTTGAAGCGTCAACACATTTTTGTAACGTTGCTGTATCGTTTCTTAACATCATTAAACATAGTCTATAATAAGTGTCAGCTACTAAGTTATGAACAGTATAAGAATGGCTAGTTGGTGACAGGTGGGGTCCATACTGAATGTAGGAACTTGAAATCTTCTGGTAATGAACACGATAGCCTAGCACATTTGACACAGTATCTGGATTTGCTCTCCACAGTATTTCAACAGACGAAGTACTTGTTGACGAAACTTTCACTGCATCTATGTAAATTGGTAATTTTTCGGTTGAAGCCATTGTTTCCAATATTTCAAGTATCATTTCACAACAATATTATAATCTAATGGTTGTTGATTGTAACTCGAATAAAAAGTGAATTATTCCATTCCAATAGTATTCAGTATAAGCAATCTGCAGTTTATTATTCCTATCTGAAATGTTGCTGATAACCGAAAGATACTCGTATGAGTTTCACGGAAACAAAGTGCTATGCAATTTCTTGATATATGTTGTTATGTTGGAAGAAAGCAAATGTATTTTTAATTGTACTTACGGCGATTATTTCAACATCCAGAATTAATTTGGAATTAAATATTATCCCTAGATCGTAGATTCACAGTGAAACAATTATCCCAGCACCATCATAATACATAGATCATGATCTGAATCTTATAATGATTGCACGGACACAGCAAGTCGTCTATTTGATTTATAAATCAATTCTTTCCCCACACATTTTTTAATGGGTCCCTGACAAAATACAATATTTCCATTAAATACGGAGAAAATATTCATCTACATTAGAACAGGAAATGCCTACGGTAATATCTGTTGTTTTTCAGCGGTGTCAACTGTGAGAGTGTAACGTTTACTATAAATATCATTTTCACAATATGACGAACATATGAATGCTATATATATATATATATATATATATATAAATAAGTTTATGTTTGACACATGTTTTCAATATCAGCATTACACGTCAGCACGATCTTACATTTCAAATCAGCATATCCGTTTGTCACCAAATATTACAACAGCTTACACTGCAATATGATAAATTACCACTTTATAGATAGTTTGAGTGTCTTCTTTATTGTTTTCAATCTATTTAAGTACACGTGCATCGATTTTCCCTCTCGCAGTGATGATTAATCCCAATAGAAATACATCAACAATATTATATGTTTACACGTCATTAATTTTGTATATTTTTCAAATTATTCTCTTGCAAAAATATAAACATACACTTACTCCGTTGTTGTAAGGATCTGTTTATTGGAATAACTACCACAGAGGTTTAAGTTGAAATATAATTATACTAACATTATAGTTAAGGCCTATCAGATTAATTCTTCTGTGTAATAAGAGGCTTTTCTGATTTTAATGCAAAATTCGAATTCATCGCGAAATGGTTATAAGAACAATAGCATCTAAGTGTAGTCATTATAGTCGGAAGAATATTTTCTCTCTCTCTGAAATAACACATTTTTTTTATAACCGGGTTAAATTAGCGAAGCCAAGCGCAACATCGACAGGGGTTCTTTTGATGGTGTATCTTTTTAAAAATCATCATGACACTAATGTAAAAAAATTGAAAGCAGATTATATAATCGGGAATTTGAGTTTTTAGATAGTGTAAGGTGAAAACCAAAACCTATAGTTGACTGATCTGGACATCTATTTTTTACACGACCGCAAAACATTATTTGCGTTAGTATAATGTTATCATTTCGTCTTCGTCGTCGGCGGCGTCATCAGCGTCGTCGTACGAAGACACATTTGGTTTCCGGACAATAACTTTAGTTTAAGTGTATGGATGTCTATGAAATTTTACGAGAAGGTTCAATACCACAAAAGGAAGGGGGGTTATGGTACCAACAGTTAAGAAATTAGGGACCAAAAAAGGACCAAAAAACAAGCATTTTTGTAGTTTCCAGACAATAACTTGTGTGAAAGTGTATGGATCTCTCTGGCATTGTACCACAAGGTAGCATATCACAATAACTTGTGTTTAAGTGAATGGATCTCTCTCCACAAAGGGAAAGCTGGGATTGCGTTTGGGGGGTAATTACTTCCAGGGGGGAGGGGGGATGTTTAAAAAGTTTGGGGGGATTTTTCTGAGGGGTTCATATTATTTCTTCAAAATGTTTGAAATTTCAAATTTTTTGAAAATTTTGATGAAGAAATCTTCAATTGCACAGTATTGCGCAATAGCAAGAAGTCTTTAATTGCACAGTATTGCACAATAACACAGTATTGCGCAATAGCAAGAAATCTTCTATTGCACAGTATTGCGCAATAGTAAGAAATCTTCAATTGCACAATATTGTGCAATAGCACAGTGTTGCGCAACAGCACATTATTGCGCAGTAGCACAATATTGCGCAATAGCACAGTATTGGGCAATAGCAAAAAATCTTCAAGTGCACAGTATTGCGCAATAGCACAGTATTGCACAATAGCACAATATTGCACAATAGCAAGAAATCTTCAATTGCACAGTATTGCGCAATAGCACAGTATTGCACAATATCACAGTATTGCGCAAGAAATCTTCAATTGAAAATAAATAAAAATCTTTTAACCAATTTCAATGGGATTAATTTAAAGTCTTTAATTTTTGGGGGTTCTAACCTTGTATTACTATTTTGGATATTGGGCCCCATTTTTAAATTGGTCTACATTGAGGTCCAAAGGGTCCAAAGGGTCCAAAGGGTCCAAAATTAAAGTTTGTTTAATTTCATCAAAAACTGAATTATTGCGGCTGTATGATATGCTGAATCTTATTAAGCATTTAGATTTTTTATTTTGGGCCCTGTTTTCAAATCAGTCCATATTAAGGTTTGAAGGGTCCAAAATTAAACTTTGTTTGATTTCAACTAAAATTAAAATTGTTGGTGATTTTTTTATATGTTGAATCTAACCATGTTGTTAGATTTTGGATATCAGACCATTCTAGGTAAATTAAATGTTCCATTTCAAAATTTTAAGATCTTTGACCACATTTATATTGTGTCAGAAACCTATATTATGTCAAAAATTTGATCACAATCCAAATTCAGACAGTATCAAGCTTGAATATTGTGTCCAAACTTGCCCCAACTGTTCAGGGTTCGACCTCTGCGGTCGTATCAGTCTGCGGTCAGCGAAGCATTTTATAATTGTCTTGTGTGCATATCACTACCCATTAAAACTTCATACACCAAGGCAATGTGATACCAGCCCCATCCCCAATATTTAATAGGACGACTATTGAAATTTAGGAACATGGCAAAAAAACATCATGAATTATATTTATCATTTAATTTACTAGACTTATCAGTTTAAGAAAGAGGTAGGACCAGTTAGTCCTGTATGTGTTTAACTCACAGGGTCGTTATCTAAAACAATTTCAATCCTTTTAAAAACAATGTTTCATATTTTCATAAAATGCTTATCAAAGCTAGATATTGCTGTTGGATAACATTTGGATTTAAAAAATTTAAATGTTTTTTAATAAACGTTACTTTGAACGACGTGTTTAACCAAAATTAATCTGTTTTTATCCGATAGACAATATAAATCTTTACTTCCAAGATGATGTTTGGTTCTGTTAAGATTGTCCTTATGATTAATTAGATAAATACTGTCAAATGCTTTTCCTTACCCTGAAATCATGTCCACATGTAATAAAGCGACATTTCTACTTTTGGCATATAAATTAAAAGTCTAGATATTAGTCAACAAATTTCTTACGAGTGCGCTGGATCGTTATGAAAAAAGAGACTGTACACAATAAAATATATATATATACGCCTAAAAAGTGTACAAAACAGCACCAATATTAAAAAAGTAAATACAAGTATCAATATATATTTGGTTACCTGCAGATATTTAATATTTACAAAAATGGCTGCGTATATTTATTTATCCCAAATGAAAAAAATAACACATCCTGCTGCGGTGGTTAGCGCTGTGCGATTTGAATTACACATCTTCATTAATCCCATTTGGTGCCAACGTTTTTTTTTTCTTCTCAAAAATCTTACTCGGTCGATTGAGATCTGCCTTAGTGTGGCCAGGGGTACACAAATATCGGCTAACAGGAAGGTCTGGCTTACATTCAAAGTCGCCACGATGGCCATTCATACGTTTGTGAAATGGCTGTTCTGACTCGCCATCATACTGTTTACCACATTTACACTGTAGGAGATGCACAGTATTTTTGTAGTTTTTTGTACGATTTCTTTCCAATTTTCGCGGATAAGGTGTGATCATTTGTCAAATTTAGGATGGTAAGTTAGCACAAACGGGACTCTTTTGACAACCCTTTATATTGTAAAAGTTTATCTCGGCTGATGTTGTTAGCAAGATAGAAACTTCTATCAATATCTTTTCTTTTGTAGCCCCGATTTGTAAGGTGACCGCGAAGCTCTTGTAATCGCTTTTTCACCGTATCATTGGTGGAGCAAATCCGCTTTATTCTGATGGCCTGGCTGAGGGAATGCTCTTCTGTGGAATCGGATGGTTGATAATTTGTGATGTTTGATTATCGAAAACACATTCCTTTTATTGTTATTTGGTTTAAAGATCTGTTTTCAAAATGTCGTTAGTGAGTATGGATCTGTTAGACCCTTTTGAGTTTTATGCTCCCACACAGTTAACATATTTAACTTTTCAAACTTTAAATTGCGAGCATGCCTGATGGAGTCTTTCTAGCTTCGTATGAAAGCTAACCAAGGTCTTCAGTTGATACACTTTTATTATTCTTTATTTAACTAGTGTTGACAGAGTGCTTACGGAGATAAAACTAGTAAAATACTGTTAGGTTAACAGCCTAAGACGTTTCTCACGTAAACTTGAAGTAATGCACAAATAACTGACATGCCGTTACAATTACTAATACCAACACATATGTCAACAGATAGGTATTTACGATATTACGAAAACAGATGTATACCTGCACAATCATACAATAGTTTCTTGTTTATTGCTTTGTTTTCTTCTTTCCAGATAACTAGTTTTCGTTGTATTTTACAATAATTGTTTTTTTTCTATATAAGCATCTTTTAGCATTGTGAACAAAATAGTCATGTATCTATTAAAAAGAAATATCTATAATTTGTTTTTAGGCATTTGAAATGATATCCGTTCTTGGTAGAGTTGTTAAATTATTAAGTAGTCTGAAGCAAACAGTATTGATTCCTTTTGAATGATATATTACAGATATTTTAAGTGTTGGGCAACATAGTTTGTACAGTTGTTGTTATCTACGGCTGTAATAACATGTGTTTTGTATTATTGTCTCTTTGGCACTTACATCTCATTTTATTTCCTTAACGATAACTCATTTCAAACAGAATAATACTATGCACTAATAAGTGGAACCTATATATAGTAATTTAAACTGATGGTCGATGTAACCGAATTCATTCAGTCATTTTCCATCCCGTCTAATAAAGGATACTATAGATACATATTTGTCTACTTTATACTTCCTATCAAATAAAGGATACCAGAGATATAGCTTGGTCTGCTTCATACATTGACACCCGTCTATTGAATGATACTAGAGATAGATCTTGGTCTGCTTCATACATTGACACCCGTCTATTGAATGATACTAGAGATAGATCTTGGTCTGCTTCATACATTGACACCCGTCTATTGAATGATACTAGAGATAGATCTTGGTCTGCTTCATACATTGACACCCGTCTATTGAAGGTTACCAGAGATATAGCTTGGTCTGCTTCATACATTGACACCCGTCTATTGAATGATACTAGAGATAGATCTTGGTCTGCTTCATACATTGACACCCGTCTATTGAATGATACCAGAGATAGATCTAAGTCTGCTTCATACATTGACACCCGTCTAATGAAGGTTACCAGAGATATAGCTTGGTCTGCTTCATACATTGACACCCGTCTAATAAAGGATACCAGAGATATAGATTGGTCTGCTTCATACATTGACACCCGTCTAATGAAGGATACCAGAGATATAGCTTGGTCTGCTTCATACATTGACACCCTAATGAATGATACTAGAGATAGATCTTGGTCTGCTTCATATCCCCTCCACGATAAAAGATACCAGAAATACAGCTTGGTCGGATTTATACCCCTTATATAATAAAGGATGTCTGAGATACAGCATTGTCTCCTTCAGATCTCAAGTCTTATATAGAATAAAGCTTGGTCCGATTTATACCTCTAGTCTCATAAATGATATTAGAGATACAGCTTTGTCTGCTTCATTCCTCCAGTCTTATATAGCATATCTGAGATTCAGCTTGGTCGGATTTATACCTCCAGTCTAATAAAGGATACAAGTGAAATAGCTTGACCTTTTTTATACTTTCCGTCTAATAAAGGATACATAAGATAAAGCTTTGTCTCCTTCATATCTCCAGTCTAATATAGGATAATGGAGATACAGCTTCGTCGGATTTATATCTCCAGTCTAATATAAGATATCAGTGATATATCTTAATCTGTTTTATACTTCCTGTCTAATAAGGGATACCAGAGATACAACTTGGTCTGCTTCGTACTTTGACTAACTGTTATCTAATTGTCTCAAAGTGGCAGTGGGAACTAAACTTTGTGAAAGGAGACTACTACAATATTCCCATTATGAATTATCCATTCTACTAATTACTACTAAAGTATTCAAACAGGATTGCATGTGAAGTATTCATTTCCCAGTTGAAACTAATATTCCAGAGGTTACGTTTTCTATGGCGATTGCCTCGAAAGAGCATTACTGCTTACAAGGAAGCAACTGGACAAGTGGTTATTAATGGTAAAATTGTTGTTATTTTTTTCTCGCCTTGACGGAGTCAAAAAGCGAGACATGGGTATGCTGTTTCCGGCGTCGGCGGCGGCGCCAACCATGTATTAGTTTGTGATTAGGTCTAGTTCATGGTGAACCACAGGTGGAGGTTAATGATATTTGGTATGCAGTTGTATAAGCATTGGCATACCTCATTTCCATGG